AGCCGGTTCAAGCAAGGATATACAAGTGATAGAAATTATTACGAGGATTTGAGATAATTATAATTAAGTAATTCATCGAGTCTAGAAGAAACCTCAACAGAATGCAGAAAGCACCGTTCAGTTACCGATATATATATATATGACAGATAAGAAACATTTTAATAATTTTTTATTTACTTTTTCCAGCGTTTCTTACATTTCCCCGTTTGGTGAGTCCATTGTCCCAAGAGCATTCGGCGACTTCCTTGGACATTTTTAAACAGGTTTTGCTTTAGTGTTATTAATTCCTCTTCACGTATTGATTGTTGCAGATATATTTTTTGTATTGTTTAAATACCAGTAGGAACTTATTTTACCAGTTGAACGCGGCTGGAATTCGAGTGAGCGTATATATATATATATATATATATATATATATATATATATATATATAATTATATTATTCATCGAAATATCGAGAATTGAAATTAGGCAAAGGTACCAATTTGATAATTAGATAATTAATTCCGTGGTGGAATTCATCGAGTCTAGGACCCAGAAGAAATCCAAGCCGCTCCATCAACAGAATGCAGGAAGCACTGGACGGCCATTTTCTTTCTATATTTGGAACTGGACATCAGCAGTGCGCATCCACTATCGAGAATTGAAATCAGGCAAACGTCATACCAACTGTACCAACGGGCCTCGGTGACGAAGAGGTAACGAATTAAACTCGATTCCGTGGTGACACTTATCCGAGTTTCCCTTACTCCTAGGACTGTGCCACCACGAGCCACAATATATATATATATATATATATATATATATATATATATTTGGATGGATGATTGTGTGACCCTAGGTTTCACGCTTTAGCGATCGTCAGATAAACTGATTAATGTTTTAAAAATTTGGGGTTTTGTAGATTGCGTGTATAATATATATAATATATAATTGCGCATATAATATATAAATAATTATACATATATATTTATTTATATTTATATACACTTTTCACATATATATATATATATATATATATATATATATATATATATATAAATTTTGGCCAAGTCTACGGGCTCAGGTGCCCTTCATTAAATTCGGCCTTGTGCCACATCTGACCGCGTGGGGCAGTTGGTAGATATCTTGCAGTCGGAGATTTGACTCAATTGTACTGACCAAACTCTCTGCCTCCGGGCAGATAGGATCCCGATACGAGGCTTTGTCGAAGGGAAGAGTCACGTCTCGGAAAACAGCTACCCGACCCCGTTTTATACGGGGTCTACGGGGAATTTTTGTTCGAGTCTACCGGGCTCGGATAGCTCACATTAAATTCGGCCGTGTGCCACATCTGACCGCGTGGGGTGGTTAGTAAATATCCTGCAGTCGGAGATTCGTCTGCAGCTATGCTGGTCAAACTCTCCCCCTGGATGCAAAGAAGATCCCCAGACGAGGTTATGTCGAAGAGCAGAGCCTCGTCTCGGGAAACTGCTACCCGACCCCGTTGTATATGGGGTCTAATGGGAATTTTTGGCTGGGCATATTGTCTCGGATACCCAACATTAAATTTGGTCTTTGGCTACATCTGACTACATGAGGCGGTTGGAAGATATCCTGCAGTTGGAGATTCGTCTCCACCTTTGCTGGTCGAACTCTCTGCCTCCGAGGTGAGAGGATCCCCAGACGAAGCTATGTCGAAGAGCAGAGTCTCGTCTCGGGAAACAGCTACCCGACCCCGTTTTGTACGGGGTCTACGAGGAATTTTTGGCGAGCCTACGGGCTCCGATACCAAACATTAAATTCGGCCTTGTGCCACATCTGACTGCGTGGGGCGGTTGGTAGATATCCTTGACTCAATTCTGGCAGTTGACTAATTATACGCGCCGCTGGCGAATCTTATATATGTTGTTCTTGTCCGAAGTATTATCGTACATTACCGACTTTCGTTTGAGTTTGATTATTCTATTCAGTAAAGTTCTCTCTCTCTCTCTCTGTTGAGATATTGAGAGTTTGCGCGTGTGTGTATTGAAATAAAGACAAACACATACGCAGGGAAAAATACTGGTATATCCGAAGAGGTATTTACAACAGAGAGATTAGTAGTCAAACGAACGCAGGTTAGTCAGTAACAATCAGAAAAGAGTATAAAGTCCAACTGCATCTTCCGGTAGAGAGACGGAAGTGTGATGGTCACCTGATCTTCCCAGAACTCTATAGAACTTTCCTATTAGGAGTAGAGAGATCAGTCCATTCTGATGAGAAGGTGGGTGCACCCCAACACACACACTCTCTCTCTCTCTCTCTCTCTCTATATATATATATATATATATATATATATATTATTTTATAATATTTTCCTCTACTTTGTATTGAGCACTTTTTTAAAAAGTAAATGCTACGGACTGTAGACTTTTACTCTAACTGTTCGTTTTCTCATTTGTATATATATATATATATATATATATATATAATTTAAAAAGTGGAGTAAACATGGCATTGGCGCGCGGTTGGGTAAACTCGATTGGTGTTTAGTGAGTTGGTATTCCGAAAGATTAATTTTAAATTAATGTTAAATAAACTGGAGCATTAAAACTGGTTCATGCAAGGATATACCATTGATAGAAATTAGGAGAAAAGATTAATAAAATCAGTAGAAACAGGGAAATATATTTTGCCTTTATATAAATTATTCTTTGTTTAATTATCATTCTGTTGGATATGTTATTTCTTTTGTTATATCAGTAATATAATGTAATATTTATGTACAGTATATTTCCGCGTATAAGGCGACCTTTAGATTAGACGAGGTCGAAAAATATAGCAAATTGTTTTCGAATTCAACCTATACCTGCAGTATAAGACGACTGCTTTTTGTTTATATAAAGATGATATTATTGGAAATGTTCTTGGAAATTTCTATGTATCCTTAGAAATTCAAAATAAACAAAATAACACAACCAATTCTCTATCATGTTTTTCCCATACATGTCCCCTAAAAGGGAAACAATTGTTTTGTTTATGTTTCATCATGTGATCACTTGCGAATACTGATTCTTCTTCTTTTCCTATATCTGAACAGTTACAAGCAGCCTGGTGTACTAATGGCCATTTACTTATACCTCATTGACAATCACAAAATACCGCTAATAACAGTATGATAATGCATTTTTTAATGAGAAACAAATATTATGTTATCCTAAATGTTATTACTGTCATAATTGACACTATGATGATTATTGAAAGTTTAGCAAAAAATAAAGGTTGCTGTGAATGCAATCATAACTTGAATATTACATTTTGTCAGCTGAGCTTACATGTATACAACTTGATTTCATTGATATGGAATTATTCTTCGATTAGGCAATTTATTATGAAGCTATGCCAATAATATATGAAGTAAAAATGGTTTCATTACTTTTATTATCAGTTTATTTGATAATGTGTATTTTTTCATGTATGTCATTTCTTATCGCACCGAGGCCAAGGTGAGCCTACTGACAAACGTCATTCAGAACTTAAGGTTTCTTTTTTGGAATTGGAGTATAAGATGGCCGCCATTTTTCTGACCTGATTTAGGGGATTTAAAGTCGCGGAAACATACGGCAGTATTTATCTTTATTTGTACAGACCCTCGCATTAAAGGTTATTTCACATATATTATGCACTATTTATAACTACAATGTCTTATTAGTATTGTTATCTTTATTGTTATTATTTTATTTCCTTTCATTTCTGACCTGATTTAGGGGATTTGATTTTTTAAAGTCCGTTTTTACGCATTAAAGGTTATTTCACATATATTATGCACTATTTATAACACAATGTCTTATTAGTATTGTTATCTTTATTGTTATTATTTTATTTCCTTTCATTTCTGACCTGATTTAGGGGATTTAAAGTCGCGGAAACATACGGCAGTATTTATCTTTATTTGTACAGACCCTCGCATTAAAGGTTATTTCATATATATATTATTTATTAGTATTGTTATCTTTATTTATTTTATTTATTTAGGGGATTTAAAGTCTACTTGAAATTACAACCCTCGCATTAAAGGTTATTTCATATATATATTATACACTATATATAACTACAATGTATTATTAGTATTGTTATCCTTATTGTTATTATTTTATTTCCTTTCATTTCTGACCTGATTTGGGGGATTTAAAGTCCGTCTTATACGCGGAAACATACGGTAGTTTTTATCTTTATTTGTACAGACACTCGCATTAAACGTTATTTGACATACATTATGCACTATTTATAATTACAATGTATTATTAGTATTGTTATCTTTATTGTTATTATTTTATTTCCTTTCATTTTTGAGCTGATACAGGGGATTTAAAGTCCGTCTTATACGCGGAAACATACGGTAGTTTTTATCTTTATTTGTACAGACCCCCGCATTAAAGGTAATTTCATATATATATTATACACTATATATAACTACAATGTATTATTAGTATTGTTATCCTTATTGTTATTATTTTATTTCCTTTCATTTTTGACGTACTGAATGGGAAACACGAACTGATTCACACTGATAGGAAATAGTGTCACTCTGTTTTTGACCGTCTTATGCGCGGAAATATACGGTATTTATTTTGTAGAATATTTGAGTTTGGAATTAGCCAAAAACGTTACATAAGCAGACAAAAAAACGAGATCCTTGTAAACGAATATAACATTATTCGCAGGTGCTCATCACTAAATTATTCTCATTCTCTTTCACTTCCAGTAACCTGAAAAGATTTAAATACAACGCCAATCATCATCTTCTCTCTATCTCAATCTTGCTTGTTAATTTTCCTTCCCTCACTTCTAATCACCAAATTCTTGTCATTCTCTTTCACGCGCTGTAATCTCCTGCGTCCTAGTGGCATTATTACCTTACCTGGTGTAAAACGATTAAAAAAAGAAACTAAAAAATTAAGCAGACGAAAGAAACTATTTGAAAAACCGAAACGAGACTTCTACTTAAACACGTGTATACCCACTAAGTATACAAATAGTGAAAATATCTATCTATCTATCTATCTATCTATCTATCTATCTATCACAGTCTGTTTCTATCTATGTATCTATCTATCACAGTCTGTTTCTATCTATCTATCTATCTATCTATCTATCTATCTATCTATCTATCTATCTATCTATCACAGTCTGTTTCTATCTATCTATCTATCTATCTATCTATCTATCTATCTATCTATCTATCTATCTATCTATCTATCACAGTCTGTTTCTATCTATCTATCTATCTATTTATCTATCTATCTATCACAGTCTGTTTCTATCTATCTATCTATCTATCTATCTATCTATCTATCTATCTATCTATCTGTATGTTATTTCTTATTGCACCGAAGCCAAGATGAGTCTACTGACAAACATTATTGAGAATTTAAGTTTTGTTTTTTAGGATTGCAGTATAAGGCGACCCGCATGCGCCAATTTCTAAGGGTGATTTAGGGGTATAAAGGCCATCTTATGCATGGAAATATATGGTATGTGTGTGTGTGTGTCTGTGTTTATTTGTATTTATATAAAACGAGCTTTCCCGCGGTAATTGTTAAAAAAACACCACCCATACGGACATTTTGCATCTATTCTGAGACACCAACCGTGGAGCAGTAATGTGAGTTGATTCCTCACTGAGTGGTCTGTAGAAACATCCTGATCAACAAACTTGGTGAAATCTAAGAATGCTTTTCTATTCGCCATCTCCCATCTCCATCAACTATTGTGACATACCAGTGACTGGACGTTTTCGTCATCTCGCAACGGGAAAGATTTTGGATTTAGGCTTTCGTCAAGAGCATTCGTAGGAAGTAAATGTTAAGTTACTTTCTACGAAGTAAATTGTACATATACGAAGCTTAATTTAGTATGGCACAAGGCCATTTATAGAGGTCACTTAGGATCGAACTCATTAAAGTGATCTGCGGAATAATCTTGCTTGGAGTTATGTCACACTATCGTCCTTTTTAGGATTTGCTGAAAACAAAATAATTAATATTTATGAAGTTAAGTATGGTACAAGGCCACAGTTTTTTAGCACTCACTGTTGACCGGACTCTTTTTTTTTGTACTTACGTCGTATGTACATGATGGATTTGAATTTGTATAATTTGATCTTTTCATGGAAAGAAGTTTCCTGTAATATCATTTTTAACTTTCTTTCTTTCTTTCTTTCTTTCTTTCTATTTTCATTTTCTTTCTTTCTTTCTTTCTTTCTTTCTTTCTTTCTTTCTTTCTTTCATTTTTCTTTTTTCTTTCTTACTTTCCTTCTTTCTTTCTTTTTTCTTTCTTACTTTCTTTCTTTCTTTCTTTTTTCTTTTTCTTTCTTTCTTTTTTCTTTCTTTCTTTCTTTTTGCTTTCTTTCTTTCTTTCTTTCTTTCTTACTTTCATTCTTTCTTTCTTTTTTCTTTCTTTCTTTTTTCTTTCTTACTTTCTTTCTTTCTTTTTGCAATCACCTTGTTTTTTCTTTCTTTTTTCTTTTCTCTTTCTTTTGCAATCACCCCCTCCCCCTTTCCTTTTCGAATCCACTCTTTCTGTTTTTGTTTGTATATTTCTCTTTTCTTTCTTTCATTCTTTCTTTTGCAATCACCTTGCATCTCTTTCTTTCATTCTTTCTTTTGCAATCACCTTGCATCTCTTTCTTTCATTCTTTCTTTCTTTTCTTTTTTCTTTTTCTTTCGTCTCTCTTGTTTTCTTTCTTTTTTTTATAGCCATTCTTTCTTTCACTTTTATTTGCATCTTGCCTCCTTTCCACTCCTCTTTCTTGATTGTTTGTTCCTTTCTTTTCCAATTACCTTGCTTCTTTTTCATTTTTTCGAACGCATCTCTCTTTCCTTTTTTATTTTTTCGAATCCACTCTCTCTTTCATTTTTATTTGCTACTCCTTCTTTCGGTTTCATTTCTTTCTTTCTTTCTTTGAACCCACTCTCGCTTTTGTTTTCGTTTGTATCTTTCATCCATCTTTCGATTCACTTTTGTTTGATTGTTTGTTTGATTGTTTGTTTGATTTTTGGTTTGTTTGTTTGTTTGTTTCTTTCTTTCTGTCTTTCTTTCTTTCTTTCTTTCTCTTTTCTTTCTTTCTTTGTTACTTTCTTTCTTTTTTCTTTCTTTCTTTTTTTTTGTTTTTTCGAACCCACTCTCGCTTTCGTTTTCATTTGTATTTATCACCCATCTTTCGATTCACCTTTGTTTGTTTGTTTCTTTCTTTGTTTTTCTTTCTTTCTTTCTTTCTTTCTTTCTTTCTTTTTTCTTTCTTTCTAATTAACATTTAATTAACTTAGATAAATGCGAGCACACTCGGATTCCGCCAGTTATCATTAAATTCCTCCTCCTTCAGAACAAGAAAAACAAATTACTCTTTTAAAAAAAATCATCCATTTAAATCATGAACCAAATAAATAAATGACATTCACAATAAAAAAAAAAAAATTTTTACCGTTTTATTTAGTAAACTTAACCATGAAAAGTCACATTTTTTTTCATTAACTGTTATTTAACAACCAACAAGAAAAACGTTGTTTTCTCAGCTATGAATAAGCAAGTCAGGAGATGAGGTTAAACACCTTCCACCTCCATTGCCTCAGACGTCTCCTGCACATTAAGTGGCAAGATTGGGTCACTGACACAGAGGTCCTCCAACGTACCGGCATTCCCAGCCTGTTCTCGCTGCTAGGCCAAAGATATCTGAGATGGTTGGGGCTCGTACGCCGCATGGGTGCCGGCTGCATTCCAAAAGTCATCCTGTACGGAGAGCTGTGTGGTTGGGTCCCGCCCAACTGGAAGACCTCAGCTCCGCTTCAAGGATGTCTGCAAACGATACATGAAGCTGGCCGACATCGACCCCAACACCTGGTAGGCCGCGGCTGACAATCGTCAGCTTTGGAGAGCCACAGTCAGAGACGGCGTCACGATTGCAGATCCTGCGAGGGAAGATCAGCAAGCAGCAAAGAGAGCCAGGAGAGAAGCAAGGAAAACCCCCGTCCCCGTGTCATCCAGTTTCATCTGCGCCAGGTGCCTGAGAGACTGCCGCTCCAGAGTGGGACTACACAGTCACCAGAGGCGATGTAACTCCATCGCCTAGCACATACAGCGTTACTCGATCATCTTCCGAGAGGGACGGATGCCGACGACGATAAGCAAGGGCAGATAACTCTGATTTACTGATGCCTTGGAGGGCGGTATACCAGAAAAAATGAAAAAGAAAAAAGTAATTTGATTCCCAAGGATTGGAGTGTTATACTCATCTTCATTGCCATATTCACAACGTTTCGGCTGTTGTACGCCCTGGCCTTCTTCATGTGATTGGAATTTCGAACTGAACCCTCTTTTTCGTGCAGCGGATTAGATTCTTCTAGTTCCACGTGCCATGCCTCTTCCGGATATGTCTCAGTTATTTCCCTTTAATTCAACTCTCCAAGTCTTTTTGTTCATCACTGCTGTAGCCTGGTATTGAACTCACAACTCTTTGAGTCTAGTCACTGGATCAAACCTCTTTATCCGCTGCAAATATGGCAAGGAAGATGAGGATAACAGTCCGAATAATGTAAATAACCATAATACCTCATCTCACAGATATAGACAGCAAAGACAGGGTTGTAGGGACTTAGCGCAGAAAGAAAGAATTCGTCTTTGGCCGGCGTAAGGTCAAAATCTCGCGATATTTCACGACGTTTTCATAAGTCGTTTTCATTTGCGAAATCACTACTCACCACAAACATACGACAATTTGACACTAACATTCGTCGATTGCGACCCCATAAGGATGTCAAATACAATCATATGAATATTTGCCCTGCTCCAACCGCCCTACCCACCCACTAAGATGGGACGTGACTCAAGGTCGGGCCAAGAACAAAAATTCTCCGAGCCATCGGTTGCGTTGTTCTCGGTGCGAGCACCGATCCACGTCTCTCTTGTGTAATGAGAGGATGCAGCCTCGGGCATCTGTTCCCCAGGGCTGAGCACCTCACAGTGTGATTTTCCTCAGTTGCGCCTCTGTCCTCCGACAGAGCCACAATTGAGCCGCACTCTGCCCGAAGACAGAGACGCAACTGAGAACTGATAAAAATCCTACCCGACGCGTCAGGTAAATACAATCATATGTACCTGACAATACTTACAAATGTAAAATAAAAAAAAAAAGAATTATCATAAACCTAAATGAGAATATTATTCTATGTTTAAAACCATTTTTTAAATAAGACTAGGAAACGCTGGCCGTAATAAAATTGGAGAATTGCAATTTATAGGGTTTGATTCCCAAACAAGGGGTGCGTATTATGCGTGAGTAGATGCAACTTCCGACACTTTCAGCACAATTTTAGGGATGCGTATTATGCAAGAAGGCGTATTATACATGGAGAATCACGGTGTATGTAATTGTACATAGGCTATGTTAAAAATTAATTTATAGAGAGAAATGTCACATCTCTATCTATAAAAGGCAGGATGTGTGTGTGTGTGTGTGTGTGTGTGTGTCTGTGTAACGAATGCACGGCCGCAATTTTAGACGGATTTGCACCAAAATTTACATGCACATGCTCCAAGTTGGCGGGAAGGCCAAGACCGACTTTGCATTTCCCAACGCCCATCGATAGTGGAAATAATCGATTTTTTCATGCTTCTACGGCAGTTTTCATGTAGTTTGCGGCCATTTTCTACTGGCCAGAGTGAGAGCCTATAGCTGGCTGCCACCAATAGGCAGGAAGATTCTATTGGCCAGCGTGAGAGCCAACAGGTGACTGACACGAATGTTAACTAGCATGCAAAAAAAAAAACTCGATAGCTGCATTCGTCACAAATGAGAAAAATTTAAATCTGCATGGCACTTTACTCCAATTGGCTCATTCGCTTGCTTAAACTCAACGTTGATTCTGATTCCGCAGAACTGGGTTGGGTGTGAAAAAGTATTTGTTGTTAACATTCTTTTTCATTCGGTTTTTCCAGTTACGAGTCCTTTTTTAAAGCTGATCGTTTTGTGTTCATTTTGTTT